GGCGGACTACTTAAATAGGCACCCAAAAGGTGCACGTGTGGCTAGTTGTATCTTCATTGTAACTGTAATAACTAATATAATAATTACTAATAAAAAGTCCCCAGGCCAAGGAGGTCACCTTAATACCGAAAAAAAAAATAAATTACTAAAAAAACTATTTTGCAAAATTTATTATTTTGCTAATACAGTAAATTTTCTTTTTTTTTTAAAAAAAAGATTTCTCAAGAACCATTAATTCAAATTTGATAAAAATTTTTTTATTTTAATTCTGTAAGTTTATAGAATTAGAATAAAATAAAATCTGTATTCTTGCAAATCATTTACAAAAAATTGCTCGATTCTTAGATAAAAAATGCCTACCTTACAATAAAAATACCTTAGATGTCGCACCAAATTTGCCACGGCAGATTCTCAATTTTAATTAGCTAACTGTCGTGGTCTACAAAATTTTGCCCGCATTATACAATTGTTACGTAATTTATGGTCTGAATTAAGTTTTTACCTTTTTTATTACAAAAATAGAAATTTTTAGGGAAATAAGCCTATGCTATGGTAAAATTAGTCAAGGAAAATTTTCGCTTAATAGGTAGCTGTGATTTCATTATTAAGATTTTGAGTAAGTTCAGCCTAAATTTTTGATCGTCGCTCTTAGCCAATAAAAATCGAGAATCTGCTGTGATGTGACAGCTAGGGTATTTCTTGCAATAATTCTATATAATTGGTACGCTTCATTCTGAATTAAGCAATGATTATGATTTATCAGCCAAGAAATAAAAAATTTGGATCGGCTAGTCGGTCAGCTAAGCCGCTATAGTCGACTACATCGACTACAGCTATAACCGATCGGCTATCCGACTACTAGATGGCCGAACCCATCCCTAGCTGGAAATGGCTTTTGTGGCGATTTTTTATTAATGAAACGTTCAGTTCTAAAAAAGTACTTAAATCAAATAAATAAGTTATCCAAGCAATTGATTTACATCAGCCAATGTCTGACCATGACCTGACACTATGATTTCTCATCACGACCCCTATCGATCACATGATCACGTGAGTCGTTCGAACCATATTTCTGTTTTACCTTTACACTCTTCGACTCATTAAACATTTCATTATCTATTTGAATACCTTTAACTAGGTACATGGGCTCTTCATAAACTATGCGATAAATAGCCAAATATTATTATTCCAGAAATGCCTTTGATGCAGTGTCTTTATGTCCAATTTTTTTAAAAATATATTTCAACAAAAAAAATTATACTAAGATTTTTTTTCTTTGAAGTTTCATGATTCTTTTAGTAAAAGACAAAATTAATTTTCAAGAATTATGTAATAATTCTTATAAAATTGAATTTGGTGCAACTTTTTATTTTTCTTGGTCATCATTCAATAGTAAACAATAGTAAATTCTATCGGGCTAAAAAACAAAAAAAAAAAATTAATAATAACAATTAAAATCTTTACAACATGATGAATATGCATCCTACAAAAAGATACGTATATAATATTGGGCAAAAATTGTCGAATAACGGTAATTTGGCAAATGAGCACGTGTAGCCAATCATTTGTCAAATTACCGTATTCCCAATATTGGTGTTATCCGGCAATTTATGATCATGATTGGTGGGAGTCGCTCGCTGAGTTTTAATTTTGAATATTGGAATAAACATAATTACATTGTAACAAATGAAAAAATAACAAAAAGAAACTTTTTAATGATCATATGAGTTTGCCGGATAATAATCAAATATGTTACAAAATAATGAATCTACATCGATTTTTGCAAAAATAGTTAAGAAATCGGGAATCAACAATCAGAAATCATCTATTTCTTGATTTGCAAATTTCACATAATTTTATAAACCGCAATAATAAAAAATGAAATAATATATAGTTTTTGGATGCTTCACATCCAATAATTTCAACATCCATTAACTATTATAAGATAGCGAATGAAAATTTCCTTTTCTAAATGTAGAGTCCAGCAATCGAAGATGTTACGTATAGCTAATAGTGAAAAATCGATACTATCTAGCCTACACATGCAAGTAATCATTCAAAAACCAGGAACGTACGTACGTAGGCTTTTAATTAGTGTTATGAAAATCACATATATTCATTAAAAACCCATACTCTTAGTTAGGGACACAGAATTTATGCGATAAAAGTTTAAAATTATGCTTGCGGTATATATAAAATATTCGATTTACTGATGATTAAAAAATGAAAATGCAATTTAATGCGGTTAACTGAGTATAAAAAAAAATTTATCTCAAAAAAAAAAAGACATGCAATTTTTTAAAAACTTAACTAACAAATTTGCAACTTTTTATATACTGCTCAATGTAATTATTTTTGACCCATACAAAAGAAAAATACTTTTTTTTTTCTTAAAGAGGAATGTATTTATTTTAGGTTTTAATGTCATTTTTACATTTAACATACGCTATTTAATTTATTCGTATCTTAACATACAACTAAAAAATATTTTATTTCGCATTTTAACACAGACTGAATCGAATATATGTGGCATTGATATAATATATATGATGTAAAATTATGCGATTTAGTGCGATTTGGTTTAATTACACTAAATCACATAATTTACTATGCACATACGTACGTAAATACGTAAATACGTACATTCCTGATACTTTATTATATAAAAAAATTGATTACAAATTTCGTAATCATTAGCCTTATTCAAATATATCTATCACAAAAGCAAGAACATATCTTTATTAAATAATCTATTTCAAAGTAGCATGAAAATTATTTCTCGATAAAAAGAAAGTTATAAAACATTATTTTATTCAAATTATCTAAACACCCAAACTATTTAAATAACCCAAAGTTTAAATAACCCAAACTAATTTAGAATAATCTAAACTAGTATTCTAATAATTTTTAATTTTAAATTGCTAAAATAAAATACAAGGAAGGACTTTTAACTAAATATAAATTTGGGAATTTTAAAAAAAAATTTAAACTATTGTGCAAAAACTGGGTCACCACTTTTGCAAACATTATTTTGGTTATCACAATCTGCACCACTGAAACTTTTATCGCCACCATTGAATTTATTGAAACAAAGGTTATGCTAATATAAATTTTTTTTTTTAAAAAAAAAAGAAAATATAAAATTTAATATATAATTTATTTAAATGATACTAGTTTAAATTGAAAAGGCTTACTTGGATATCGCATTGACGGCCGTGCGCAGCATCAACATTCTGAAACTTATTTCCGTTAACTTCAAAAGTACCATCAGCGTTATTTTTTATCAGTGGCATTTGAACACCACCAACGGGATTCGTGAATGCATCATTATTGACTTTTTGATCATTATTACTGGCGGGATCTGCAGCAGTAGTGGGAGTAGTAGCAGTATCTGCAGCAGCAGTGGGAGTAGTAGCAGTATCTGCAGCAGCAGTGGGAGTAGTAGCAGTATCTGCAGCATTATCCTTTTTATCATTATTACTGGCGGAATCTGCAGCAGCAGTGGGAGTAGTAGCGGTATCTGCAGCAGCAGTGGGAGTAGTAGCAGTATCTGCAGCAGTTCCATTAGTTGAAGGATCATTTCCACTATCTGAAGGAGGAGTAGCACTGTCTGTAGCATTATCCTTTTTATCATTATTCATCTTTTTACAATTTTTCTTATTTTTCTTATTTTTTTTATTTTTCTTTTTATTCTTATTCTTTTTTTTATTCTTTTTATTCTTTTTATTCTCTTCACCAGTTTTACCTTTATCCTTTTTATTCTCTTCAGCATCTTTACCTTTACCCTTAGCAGCATCTTTACCTTTAGGTATTTCACTTGATTTGGGATCGACTGATGTTGGAGAAGGTTGGGAAGTATTATCAGGTGATGTACCAGTTGGATTTTGAGGAGGATTGCTTTCATTGTTTCCAGTTGGATCTTGAGCTTGTGTTAATCCATCGAGTTCTTTGTGTCTTGGCTTTCTGCATAATTATTTTAATAGGACAACTAATCAAAAAAATATTCAAATATGAATTATATGCATACATAATTGTTTTATGACATACTTGTTACAAAGTTCAGATGGTTGACCAACATTAGGAGTGTTACGTTCAAGCTGTCTATATGTTTGGGCAATTTTCACAGCTTGATCTCGTTTTGTTGGATCACCAAGTTGATCACCAAGGTCTATAACTTCGTCAGCTCTGTCTTGCTGATCACAAGCGGGAGCTTTTGCCAAAAGAGCTCTAACCATTGCACCCGATAAATTTCCAGCTTGTGCTTCTTTGTCAGTACCCTGAGCTAAATCTTTTACATCCTGAAAAGTAGCATCAGCTTGAGGAGTATGCTCCTGTCCGAATCTCCTTTTCTCTAATGAAGCACCTAATGGATTAGAACCTAATCGCCTATTCTTAAGATTAGCCGGTGAGGCGTTAGCTGTTAATGAAAGTGTCGAAACAATCAAAATGAAAATCGAGAATTTCATTTTTATTATTATTAACTGGAGTAATAAAGTAGGTTTGATGTTGAGACTAGCTCAAATGATGATGGCAAGAAGGAAAAAAATAAAATAAAAAAGAAAGGAGCACAGCTCACAAAAAAAAAACTTTGAAGTGATAATGAATCAAAGAAGTTGATTGAAAAACTTGAGTTGCGAAAAAACGGTGGATATTTATACATTTTTTTAAGAACTCTACCTAAAACGAACTTGTAAATCAGCATTTCAAATTAAACAATTAAAAAATAATAATTGTTTCTCCTAACTAAATTAATTTTCTTCATTTTAATTACCCGTAATTATAATTATTCTAATTTAAGTGAAGCACCACTTGCAAGTTACGAATTTTTAAAATGAGTAAAATTTTGGTTATTTTTCTTTAAATTTTCTTTATTTGGTAACAAAAACAAAATAATTCCAAGTCACTACTGCACTATTCGGAAAACAGTTTATTAATCTGATGAGTTTCACGTAGTATTTTCCTTATCATGTGATACTCAAAAGTTTTTAAACTACGTATTAGAAATCAAAAAAAAAAAAATAGTTTATGATAATACAGATATGATAATATTTTTTAAATATAATTACGCATTATTACCTTATATTTGAAACAAATTCTTTTTCTAA